CATAAGAGATATTTTCATCTTCTAGAGCTTCATCCATATCTTGTTTGACTCATAACTTTGATTATGGATTCTAATGAAGGATCAAAATAGAGGGACACTCTCCAATTAGTTATCCTTAGTGTCTCGGGCATTATGTGTTCGAAGTACTAAATTTTGAGAAAGAAGAATTTTTAACAAATAGCCTAACAAGTCCTTAAATTATTCAAAGGCAGATTGAAAAGAAACAATTATACACATGAGCATAAAATTCAATCCCATGGTCAAGGAATGGTATAAATCTTTACAATAACTTGGAAGTGAAAATTTTAAAAATATCCTTAGACAATCCGATAAAAAAGTGAATGTCAGCCTGTCAAAAGGCAGCAAAGCAAAAAACGATACAGTAATGGAATCAACACAGAAACACCTAAAGGTGACCGGGGGGCTTTTTGGAGTATCGGTTATCAGATGAATTGATAATTAGGCAAAGCAATTCCCAGGGGTTTGGTCCCCTGGACCATTCAACATAGTGGCCATCAGGTCCTGTTTTCCGTTTCCCATGATAACTTAAACTTTTTTTCCTTTGTCACCTATTCTTTATATTTCAGTAACATTTGTTTTTCCTGACCATAAAAGTAATGCCCATCCATTATAGAAAGTCTGGAAAATACATAAAAGCATAAAGAAAAAAAAAATCAGCCCTGACTCCGTCATTTGGAAAGAGGCATTGTTTGGTTTTAATGAGCTCCTCTTGCTCCCATCGAGGGGGCGGGACATATGCACAACAGTTCCTATTTTACATGTCAATTTGTTTTTCCCGTGATAAATTGTGCCACAGTTTGATCAGCTACATCTAATTTATGGGGTACCCAGCTTTTCTGGCGTTTGTAGATATACCACATCGAACAGCGTTCCGTATATAACTTCTGCTTTGGTTGGATTCTTTTTCTTTGGAGAAAATCCCACCCTGACTATGGAATTGTGGGATCAGAAGTTCTTATTACGCAAAACCCAACTCAGGTTGTTCAAAAGAGAAAATGGAGGCCCGGAGAGCAGCAGGGACTTACCTGAAGTCATCCAGCCATTGAGTAGCCTCAGACCCAGGTCCCCCAGTTCCTGGCCACCCCTGTGGTCCTGTACCACGCAGCCCATTAAGATGGCGGGACTCTCCAAATATGGGGAATTTGTTGTTGTTGGAGTCCACTCAGGCTGTTATTCTTCCCCCATTAAATTAAAGAGACTGTAAACGTTTTCTAATAACCAAAACCTGCAAAATGGATTGTTAGAAGATTCTAAAATCTCACCCTGGGGCAAACGTTTATCAGGCTAAAATAAATCTCTGCAAAGCCTTTATAGGATCCTCAAAACCCAATTCCACAACAAAATGCTTGTTTTTATTATAAATTGAGGTTTTATTGTCAGCATGAATGCAAACCATGCTGCTGACATGGTAAACACAAAGCCTGTGAGCAATCATAAATATTCACACCTTTGGCAGAAGTAATCGTGACCTAGAGCTACAGTTCTAGCCAAATTTTGACAAGCACTCCCAGTGAAATGTGCCACAATCCCCATGCCCTTCAGCAAAGGACAGAGACAGGCTAAGGTCATGGTGGTCCTACTGCTGAAGGCTGGGGTGGCTATACTGTGGAAAACATGAATGGCTAAGGCAGTGGAATCTCAGTCTGCGTAGGACTCAAGAGCAGGTGCAAGGCAGGATGGGAAGAGTGAAATAACCAGACATAACAAGCTGGTCTTCCATATCTGCTTTTTTGTTTTTGTTGGGATAGATTTTATATAACATGAAACTCACGATTCTAAAGTGTTCAGTTGTATTAGTCCATTTTCCATTGCCATGACAAATTACCAGAGGCTGGGTGATTTGTAAAATAAAGAGATTTATTTAGTTCACAGTTCCAGAAGTCTGAGAGCATGGTGCTGGCTTCTGCCTTGTTCTGGTGAAAGAGGAAAAGCCAGGAAAGGTCTGGAATGGAGCTGGGTACACTCAGGAGCAACCGGAGCTCAACATGAAGAGACTGAGGAATGGTTCAGCATGGGGCTCTGATTTGTCCTTCCAAACAATGGAAGGTGACGGCTAAAAAACCAGAGAGCTCCAGCAGGCATTTGGGGTGGAGGCCTGCGGTGGGGCTGGGTGACATGCGTGCATGGGGAAGCCGCATTGCGAGAGGCAGGTGGGGTAAGCACTGGGAGGACAAACACTAGATCTCCTGCAAGGGACCAGGAGCCTTCCTGGAGGAGCAGCTAGCTGGACGGAGTGGACGGGGCTGATGGGGCAGGTGCGTCCTCCCGCTGGGCAGCCCTACTGCAGGACCGCAGGCTGCGTAGCTTGAACATCAGAACTGATCTTCTCCCAGGTCAGAGGCTAGGAAGTCTGAGATCAAGGTCTCAACACTTTGGGTTCAGGGAGGGCTCCCCCCTGGCTTGGAGGTGGCTGTCTCCGATGGCAGAGAAGCTCACTGGGGTCTCCTCCTCCCGTAGGGATCCAGAGTCCATCAGATCAGGGCTCCACCTTTTAGGGACCTTCGTCACCTGCTAATGGCCCTGTCTCCAAATGCAGCCACATTAAAGGTCACAGATTCAAGATACAAATTTGGGGAAAGGACACAATTTTGTCCACAGCACAAGACTTTGGCCATTTTGTCCTGAGGACAGGGGGAGCCCGTGAAGGACTCTGAGCCTGAAAATGTGAAGGGTCAACCTGATGGACTGGTTCCTCCAAGTGTGGCTCAGAGAGAGGCCGGGGGGAGTGCGGGTGGGATCGTGGACACACCCGGAGGTGCCTGACGGACCAGGTCAGGGGTGAGGCCTTGACCGTGAGTGTGGAAGGAAATCAAGACAGGAGACGGCTTGAGGAACGTTCTGAAGGGTCGCTCCACAGGAAGGGGAGGGCTGGGTGTGGGTCGCCAGGGCTGGGGAAGTCAGGATTTTTTCAGCTTCAGCAGCTGGGTTTCAGGGTTGTCCTTCATGGGGACAGGGAATCCAGGAAGAGAAGACAGACAGCTCTTGTAAGATAGCACCAACTCTGTTTTGACATCCCTTAGAGACGCTGACATATTGTCTTTCCTCTAAATCACCTGCCTCTGTAGGTGCCTGAGAAGCGTTTGTTGACTGAATGAAAGATTGACTTAACTGGAGGCCCACATGGAAATCTTGCTCTGGTGGTTAATTTTAGTTTCCACTTGATGAAGTTAGGGAATTCTAGAGAGCCGGTAAAGCATTGTTTCTGGGTGTGTGTGTGAAGGTGTTTCCAGAAGAGATTGACTGACATGTGGGTTGGACTGGGGTGGGGGGCACTGCCCTCACTGTGGGCGGGCACCATCCTGTCATCAGGCGGTCCAGAGAGAGGCAGAGAAAATGGATTCCCTTCCTACTGGAGTGGACACTCTCCTCCCCTTGACGGTGGACGTCAGAACTCCAGCCTCTCTAGCCTCGGAATCCAGAACCCACTAAAGCAGTCTCAGTTTCTTGGGCCTGTGCCCCAGACTGTGCCATCAGCCTCCCTGACTTCGAGTCATGCTCCCAGGGTCCCAGGGTCTCCACTCACAGACGACCTGTTATGGAACCTCTCAGCCTTCATAACCACACGAGCCAGTTCCCCAAATAAGTCTCCTTCCAAACATCTGCAATGTATCTATGTCCGGAAGCGTGTGCGTATGTCTGTGGGTTTGTCTGCTGAGCTGCTTAGGACCTCACTAAGTTGCTGAGGCTGGCTTTGAACTTGCAATCCTCCTGCCTCAGCCTCCTGAGCCACTGGGATTACAGGCATGCACCATAGCACCTGCAAAGTTTAAATTAATTTTAATAATATACTTCATATAACCCAATAGATTCAAACTATTACTATTTTAGCAGGTAACCAAAATAAAATAATTATGGAGGTATTTTGTAAAAAAAAAAAAAAAAAATGCCGCAGTCTGGCTGGGCACAATCAGGAGCCACTTGTCAAAAGAAACTAACTTTATTTTTAGAACCACACACGCCAAACAAAACAGCCTCTCAGGAAAAACCCTCAGAGCCTCAACTGCCACCACCGGCTTCCCACAAGCCTCTCTCTCCCACACCAGCTTCTCTCCACCTCCCACAATCCTCCTGCTCTTGAGGCCGATTGGCTGGGTCACGTGGGCGGAGCCAAAAAAGTCCCCCAATGAGCAGCTCCATGGTCTGAAAGGGCAGGGAAACAGCCCAATGAGCATCACTGCAGAGGAGCCAATCAGCTAGATGTTGCTGGGGCCGCTGTGAGCCAATCATCAGCCGGCAGCTGGAAGTTTGCTGGGGCCCCTTCTGCTGTGGCTCTCAACATTTGTGTGTCTGTCTGTCTCCGAGAGGCTCTGCGTCTCTGAAGAACTCTAACCCACTTGTTCACTTTGTTCTTTGTTCCCTGTATTTATTTCCTCCCTTTCCCATTTAAATCTTGCCGTCCCATCAAGAGCCACCTTCTCCAGAAGCCACCACTCTGGGGCCAGTCGGAGGCCCCAGGGCAGGGACCGTGAGCTGCCTCGGTTGGGCGGGAGGCAGGACAGACACCTACCAGGCTGCCTCATCTGGAGCCGATCATGTCCTCTGCCCTGACCTGGGCCCAGGGACAAGCAGGGCAGAGCCAGCTCCGAGGAGACCCCAGTGGAAAGGGCCGCACAGCTCTGTCCATGGAGGAGCGCGGAACCCGCGGGTCCAGCTGGTTTCCTGTCTGCCTGACCAGCCGCGGCCTCGCAGAAGGAGCCGTGAAGCCAAGGAGACTCAGTGGAGCGTGCAGTCACTTACCATGTGGGTCAGCATGGCGGAGCCCAAGCCCTGCAGGGAGCCACCTGGGAGGAAGCAGCCCTGGGAGGAACAGTGGTGTTGGGGTGTTGGGGTGGACGCCCCGGGTCTCCTCCAGGCTCGTGGACCTAACCTGTGACAGGGAGCTTGCTCTGCTCAGGGCCCCCTGGGCTTCCTACCCCAGGCCCCTCCCACCCCTGCTTCTGCTGTGCTGAAGTCCCCAGGGGCCTCTCAGCCCTCCGCCCAGCCACGTCCTCCCCACACTCAGCGCCGCTGCCCAGGGAGGACGTGGCTGCTCCTCCAGCTCCCATCCTGAGCCCCTGCGAACCCTCATGTGACGCAGCCGAGAAAACTCAGGGCCCAGACTCTGCACTCAGTTGTCCTGGGTCCCAACTCGGTTCCACCTCTGATCGGCCCAGGAGTCCAGCAAGTTCTTCGACCTCTCTGCACCTCGGCTTCCTCACCTGCCAATCAGTGTTAGTTACAGTTTCTCCCTGGGGAGCCCTTGGAGGGAGGGAGAGAGCAAAGCCAGCAAGCCCTGGCCGCGCCTGACCAGTGGGAGTGCTCGGCACCCATCCTCACCCGAGTCTGTGCTTTCTGGATTTTTCTCTGGGCGGTATGTGTGTGTGCACACGACGGGGGACAAGGTCCTGGAGGGAAGGCCGTGGGACTTCTGCCGCCAGGACAGGTCCACGGCTGGTCCTTGGAGAAGGTTGCTGGGCAGCACCTGGTGAGCACTGGGCACCTGAGAGGGGCCAGCTCCCATCAGGCTTGAGGTCAAGCTGGTCATGCAGGCAGTTCATTTTATGTGTCCAATTGTGTACCGAACCCAGATCCGCAGTCAAACATCAGTCTAGATGTTGCTGTGAAGGTGTCTGTTGGATGAGGTCACCAGTTAAATCAGTACATTAAGTGTGGGTGGGCCTCATCCAATCAGTTGAAGGTCTTCAGGGGAGAGTCTACCTCCACAACGTTTGCACACCTGAGCTGCAATCCCAACTCTCCCCTGGGTCTCCAGCCTGCCACTGCCTGGGTCTCCAGCCTGTCACTACAGCTTGTGGACTTGCCAGGCTCTGTAAACACCCAAGCTGGTCTCTCTCTCTCTCTCTCTCTCTGCTCTGTTTCTCTGGAGAACCCTGATTAATACACCCAGGAACCCAGCTACTATGCTTGGATGCAGTTAAATGCCTTCCCCAAAGTTTCAAGAGCTGGAAATTTGGCCCCCACTGGGGTGATGTTGAGAGATGGTGGAACCTCTCAACATGTTAAGAGGTGGGGCCTAGAGGACGGTGGTCAGGTCACTGGGGGGCACGGCCCTCAAAGGGATTCATGGGACACTGGTTAGTTTCCGAGGGAGAGTAGGTCATTATTAAAAGAGGAAGCATGGACCCTGAGTCCCCCTCGCTCCTGCCACACTATGTGATCTTGTCCTCCCATGATCCTGCCATTATGATGCGGTGCCTGTGAGCCCCACGCCAGAGGCAGAGCAGGCCACCGACCCCCTGATCCACCAACCTCCAAAAGTGTGAGCTAAAAAAGGCTTTTTCCTTTAAAAATTATCCAGACTCTGGTATGTTGTTGTAGTAACAGAAAACAGACTGACATACCAACCTAAGTCCTGCAAAGTGCCCAAGGAAAGCCGGCTCCAGGTGGTGGCTTGTATGACCCCATTGAAGGGTGGCGGGGGATTCTGACTTCCCGCCTGTACAATAGAGGTGTTTCTTCAGGTCTCTATCAATCATCTTCACATTCCTTCTGTCAGCTCCCAGCCTGAGGCTTCTTGAAGTGCCTCTGGCTGCTGAAATGTTGAGATGGAGCAAGACCCAAGATTCTGACCCCAGAGGTCCTGGAACCAGAAAAGCTTTCAGGGAGGTTAAATCTGGGGGCCCCAACTCACATTTTCCCTTCAATTTCCTTTCTGGTACTGTATTTTGTTTGTTTGTTTTATTTGTTCTTTTTAGATATACGTGACAGTAGAGTGTATTTTGACATATTATACATACATGGAAGATAGCTTCCCGTTCTTGTGGTCGCACATGACGTGGAGTTACCCTGGTCATGTATTCACATATGAACATAGGAACTTACGTCCGATTCAATCTACTGTCTTTCCCATTCTCATCCCCCTCCCTTCCCTTCATTCCCCTTTGTCTAATCAATGAACTTCTATTCTTCTCTCCTGCCTCCCTGATGGTGTGTTGGCAACCACAGATCAGAGAGAAATTTCAACCTTTAGTTTTTTGGGATTGACTTAGTTCACTTAGCATGATAGTCCCCAGTTCTATCCATTTGCCAGCAAATGCCATAATTTCATTCTTCTTATGGCTGAATAATATTCCATTGTGTATATGTACCACATTTTCTTAATCCGTTCATCTGTTGAAGGGCACCTAGGTTGGCTCCATAGCTTAGCTATTGTGAATTGAGCCGCTATAAACATGGATGCGGCTGCGTCCCTGTAGTATGCTGATTTCAAGTCCTTTGGTTATAAACTGAGGAATAAACATAATCATCACATCAGTAGACTTAAAGACAAGAATTACATGATCATCCCAATAGATGAAGAAAAAGCATTTAACAAAATACGGCATCCATTCATGTTCAAAACACTAGAAATACAAGGGATAGTAGGAAATTACCTCAACATCATAAAAGCTACGTATGCTAAACCCAAGGCCAACAGGATTCTAAATGGAGAAAACCTGAAAACATTCCCTCTAAAAACTGGTATCATCCTTGAAACCAGCTTTTTTTAAATAAAAATACCGTATGACAATTATTGCTTCTCTCTCAACAGGTGTGGTGTTGACAGTAGTCCACGCTCAGGTAACACCTGATCACCATCACTGGGTGTTGGTGTCTACTAGTTTCCTGCAAATCCATGTTTGAAAAGACAGACTTGGAGACTTACTCGGAGATTATGATTACAAACCTCTGTTAATGTTTACAGAGGCTCAGATTAAGTAAGAAAATGTCAGAGCAAAGACTGTTCAAGGAAATGTCCACCCCCTTCGTTTTTACTTTTATCCATAAATGTGTCCAAGATACTCAGGACCCAAGTTCATGAGGCCAAGGAGGCCATGGTATCAGAGTCCTCAAAGCAAGATCTGCAGAGGCAGGCTCCGTTTTCAAGGCTGGAGTGGCACCAGGACCTGGTGAGCCTGGATTGCAGAGGTTGCCAAAAGTCAGGCTCCAAGGTCGTAGAAGCAGAGGCAGCGGAGAGCTGGGAGAGCGGCCAAAGGGGTGTTGAGCTGGTCTGTGGCTCCGTAGAAAATGGCAGCCTCTGTCAAGTGATGTCATCTCACCCAACAGCCCCGGTGTGTTAATATTTTGAGGCCAATCTTGACATGCTCAGTAGAGCTACTGGTAGAAGTTTACCTTTCTATTTATTTATTTAATGTGTATTTTGTTGGAAGGAATGGAGAGCCGATTTTCAGAACAATTGGACAGGAAAGGGTCAATGCCACCTGAGCTTCCTTGGGGACTGAGTTATGTCACTTAAATGAGGCACTATTTTGAGCCTCATGGTCGCTGATGAATTTGTTGAAAATTATCCACTCTCATTAATTTGTTCCTAATGTGTTTCTATGAAGCTCTGTGTGCAAAATCCTTATCAGCGTCAATCTCTTTTGCATTGGTCATAGGCCCACTTTCTCGTTTTGTTTGTGTTCTTTATTTCCTTGATTGGATTTGCCAGACTTTGTATATTTTATCAGTCCTGTTAAGGAGCTGGCTCTGGGTTTTATTTATCAATTCCCCTGGGAGCTTTTTTTTTTTGTTCTCTCATTTATTGACTTCAGCTTTCATCTTTATTATTGCTAGTATTTTTACCATTTCCTCTGGACTGTTTTCTTCCTTTTCTAGGGCACAAAATTGGCGCCTTTCTCTCCTTGTGATAACATTGTTTAAAGTTGTGAATTTCCCTGTCAGTACGGCTGTGTCTGCATCCTGCAAAATTATTCCATTGATTATTTTGATTAGTCTGCGTAGGGTGTTCATAGACAAATGAGATCTTTTAGAGGAAAAAGAACAATAAATGTTTTTAAAAGTCAAAAGAGCAAAGAACAAAGACAACTAAATTACCAGAAGTCTCACTTCCCAGACTGCCATGTTCACATACGTACTTTCTAGATTTTTTTCCTTGCACACTTATATGTATGGATTTTTATTTTTCTACAAAATGGGATCACCTGTTACACCGTTTTGTTGTATGCTTTGTTTAGCTGAATATTAAAATGAAAACTTCTTCATGTGAAGGCTGGATCTGTACGGTCCATTTTAATAATGCCAGGATTTATTCTGTGGCTGGATAGCCTATCATTTACCAAATATCTATTATTAGACATTTATGTTGTCTTTGCTTATTTTGTTGTGGTTTTTAAAGCTGCAGTGTTTATTCTTGTTGCAGAATACTTGCTCACATCCATGATGGCTTCCTCCGCTGAGCGGTTTCAGGAGCCCGTTGCTGGCTGCAAAGGTGGGCGCAGCTACAGGGATTTGGGTGCATTCGTGTCATTACCCGCCGTGCAGTTGGAGGGATGACTCGGCCGGGAACCTTGCATTTCCATCCGTGCTCATCAATGACTGTTTTCAATCTTGGACAGTTGGGGAGAGAAGAAATGGCACATTATTAGCAAATGTGACTGTTTTATACATTCATGGGCCACTTGCTTTCTGGCTGCCTTCGCCTGCCCTTCCCCTTTCCTCTCTGTTCTCATTAATTGGCAGGAGCTCTTTGGTCTCTGCCATATGCAGTACAAATATTTTGATGGTTTTATTATCAGACGTTAGGTATTCTTGCCTTGTGGAATTATCAAAATTATACTCAGTTAAGTATGTCAGTCTTTTTTTCTTCATGGTTTTTGTCTTTGCACATGAGCTTAGAGAGATCTGACATAGTAAAGATCAAATTATTAGGCTTTTATTATTATCTGTTTACATTTAAATCTTATAAGCATCTGGGATCTATGCTGTGTGTTCCTACCTGTGTACCCAGCATCTAGGACCTGGCAGTTCACAGAGCACCTTAAGTCCTCTCTCTCTCTCTCTCTCTCTCTCCCCCCCCCTCCTCCTCCCTCCCTCTCCTGTGACACTGAGCAAGAGTCACCATGGCAGAGATGACTGTTGAACTTCAAAACTGAGCGAAGGGCTTTCCTCTGGCCTGATCAGAAGGACTCTGTTCTCTGGACTTGACTGTGTGGTGCAGATTTCCGACACAGGCTGGGCAGCGAGTGAGTCCAAATACATATTTACAGGTTTCTCAAGTGTGTCGGGGAGACTGCAGGTCCCCAGCTCCTGCATAAAGAGACCTCATGAAAGCCAATGAAGTCACACCTCTCATACCCAGTGCCCCTGCCTGCAGGCACCAGCGTCCCTCCTGGGGTGAGATCCCACTGAATATATTCACACCTGCCCCTGCTCCCAGGGAGGGGTCTGTGGACCCCCACACGCCCATTGATGAAGCTGAGGAAGAGGGGGTGAAAGATTCTCTGGGTCTCAGAGCCAAGCTCATGGCACAGCTTTCTCCCCTTTTTGGGGAGACCTGGAACTGGGGTACTGAGCGGGTTTCCCAGGTCACTCTCCCAGCCTCCTCCACTCTGTGGACCTGTCAGGATCCTCAGGTCATCTCTGTACCTTGATACTACAAAAGTTGATTTCCTGCTCAGAGAAACCCACTGTGGTCCCAGGGGAGTGACTGTGATGCAGGCAACTTTGATCTCGTGGCTCCCAACTCAGTCTGCACGGCCACTGTGGCAGGGAAGAGGGAAGTGGTGGCACTGCACTGGAGTTACCCTGGGGCTGTCTGAGTGACACATGGCGCCTGCACTCATGTTTTATCAACCAGAAACGGTTACCTTGCCTTGACTGACTTCAAGAGGGCAAGAAAGTTTCCCATGTGCCAAGGGAAAGGGGGGACCTGGGCACTGGTAATATCTGTTACATTCTTTCCAGGGACCCCAATATTGTGGTTCTCTCCATATTCTTCTGCCTAAACCATTAAAAGATACTTATTTAGGGAAGAGTATTAGTCAGCAATTGTTGTACTAATGCTGCGTAACAAATCACTCCAAAAGTCATTTTTCTTCCTCAGGTGTCTGTAGATTAACTAGCCAGTTACAGGATGATTGCAGGCTTTGCTTTGGATCCAACCTGCTCCTTGGACCGGGTGAATTCTGGGCAGTTTCTCTGGGTGGATTGGAGAGCCCAAAAAGCCGAGTCAAACTGTGCTAGCACATCTAAGTCGTCTGCACACATCACCACTGGCCAAAGCCACTCACATGACCAAGCTTTAAGTCAAGGTAAGGGGATTCTGTCCCCAACCAGAAGATAGACTAGGGGCAGGAGACAAAAGACCCACTGGGGCAAAGGAAGGAGGCTGAAGTGAAAGAGGGTAAAAAAGAAGGGGGAAAAGTCCCCCAAGTGAATTTCACCAACTTCCCAGATCCTCTGAATGCTGCTTAAGGGCCTCAAAAGGTCTGAGTGTCTGGGGTGCAGCCCTATCACGGGGCTCCCTTGGACTCCGGCCTTCTTTCCTTCATCACAGATGGACTGAATGCCAGAGCTTCTCTAGGCTCTAAGGAGGGGGAAGCTGAGGCACAGAGATTCCCCACTGCTGTCATTCCATTTACAGCCTGTGTTAGTCAGGATATACCACCACGACCACCACCCACTCCCGCCACCCACTCCCCCACCCCACACTCCATCGATAGATTTACTATAAAGAGCTGGTTTGCATGATTATGGAGGCTGACAAGTCCTGAGGTCTGTAGTCAGCAAGCTGGAGACCTAGGAGAGCTGATGGCACAGTTCAAGTTCAAGTCCAAAGGCCTGAGAACCAGGAGAGGCAACCGTTGTAAGTTCCTGTCCCACGACCAGCAGACTAGAGACTCAGATGCGTTGATGTTTTGGTTTGAGACCTAAGGCAGGAAAAGATCACTGTCCCAGAAGGAGTTCTCTCTTACCCGTGGGAGGACCAGCCTTTGTGTTCTACTTGGGCCTTCAGCTGATGGACAGATCCACCCACCCCAGGAGGGCAATCTGCTTTACTCAGTTAGTCTACCCATTCAAATGCTAATCCCACCCAGAAACACCCTTGCAG